CTGCACTCCAGTTTGGGTGACAGAGTGAGACTCCAACTCAAAAAAAAAAAAAAAAGAAAATCATTGTTGTCCTCAGAAGTTAGCAGTCCACCTAGTTAGGGAAAAAACATGTTCCTGTGTCCGGCAGCATACGTTCAAGTGCTTAGTAACACAGGTCTCTTCTTAAGTTGCACTGAAATTCAGAGACGTTATTCGTGAGGACCAGACTAGCAGGGGAGGCCTCCCAAAAGAGGCGTTTGGGATGGAAGGATGGGAGGCATCTGGGAGGTGGGAGCGAGGTTGCCACTGAGGACAACAGGTGGTGTTGGTGACAGCTTGAACGGCAGTGTGGCCTGACACAACGTATAGGTGACAAGATTGGGAGCAACAGTGACCTCGATCCGTCATGACCCTCTGTCACAAAGAATGGCTACAGAAAAGACACCTAAGTTCATCACTTCTTGGGGAGAAAGAAATAATAGCTAACACGCTACATAGAATGTATAATGGTTTAAGCACCTCACAACTTGCTTGATACTCAGAGCAACCCTATGGCAAGGTACTATTACTAGCTCCATTTTATAGATGAGAAACATGAGGCACAAAGAGGGTATGTAACTTGCCCAAGGTCACACAGCTTCTGAGTAGCAGAGTCAGTTCTCAAGCACTCTGCATCCAAGTCTAAACATGAAATACATTTCTGTTTCATCTATGCCTTATTTTTTTTATCTTTTATTTTTTGGTCGTTGGAGTCTCACTCCGTCACCCAGGCCAGAGTGCAGTGGCACACTCATGGCCACCACAGCCTCGACCTCCTGGGATCCAGCGATCTTTCTGCCTCAGTCTTCCAAGTAGCCAGAACTACAGGCACATGCTACCACGCCCGGCTGATTTTTGATTTATTGTAAAGACAAGGTCTCACCAAGTTGCATGGGCTGGTCTTGAACCCACAGGCTCAGGCAATCCACTCACCTCGGCCTCCCGAAGTGCTGAAATTATAGGCTGAGCCACCCAGCTCAGCCTCATCTATGCCTTATACACATACCCTGAAGGTAATTTTGTTTGTTATTGATTGTATTATTTAGGTATTGCTTTATTTATTTGTTTGTTTACTGTTTGACGCCCAACCTGGAGTGCAGTGGCATGATCATAGCTCACTGCAGTCTTGAACTCTTGGATCCAAGTGATCCTCCTGCCTCAGCCTCCCAAGCAGCTGGGTCACTAGGCCCAGCTAATATTTTGATTTTTTTTTTTTTTTTTTTGGGTAGAGATGAAGTCTTGCCATGTTGCCGAGGCTGTATACCACATTTTAGATAATTGTGTGCATGAGCCAAAGTTTGTGTTAAGTACGCAGGTGTGGAATTTTCCACTCGTGGCGTCACGTAGGCGCACTCAAAGTTTGGGATTGCGGACTTCAGATGTGCCGATTAGGGATGCTCACGTCCTGTTCCCGAGTCCCTCGGTGCGAAAGCTTCCTGGGTGGGCACGAGGGAGAGGTGGCGGCCGGGACCGTGGCAGGTCGAGGGGGGGACGCAGGCCAGGGGGCC